AACCCGTGGCTGCCTCCTACCAAATTCTCTCGTTCTCGCGACTGAATCATTGAATATTTATTAAGTGACGCCAGATTTACCCTGACCAATGAAATCACTCTGTACCAATTTTTGGTACGCTTAAATGGCGGCGCCCATAATGAAATCATGTTTGCTATGCGTGGCAGATTTATTGAAAAAAAATACGATAGATCCTGAAGAACAGATGTGAGTAACGTATATTCTAAAATACTTACAAGGTTTTACATTAAAATACAGGGTTTCGAATGTAGACGTTGTGTGAGAACGCTGAATAGCGTTACTCGTTAAGAAAGGAAATTCGAACCGAAGTTGATGTACAGCTCGTGGTTATGGTTTCATCCAAATACAAGATAGACTGATCATTTTCATTGGTTCTGACTTGAAGCGTCAGATGTTATTCCATTGGTTGAATGTATGTTATTAATATTCATGAGAACAAGAGAAATTAGAAGGAGGCAGCCACGGGTTTGTGGAAATAGAATGGACACAAAACCCGTGGCTTGCGACGATGAAACAAGATATAATAACATATTTTGGTGACATGTGGTAGGTACATGTATATGATATTTTAGGCCCGATATCCAAGAGGGGTCCAGTGTTAACAAATGGAAGTGACTTACCTTCTCTATTTCATAATACCGCGGGTATGATTTTTTAATAAAACGTTAATTCTACGTTATTTTTATGGATTTTTTATATGGAATACATTGTAAATGTGTACTAGAATATTAATTTATGGAAAAAGACGAATAAAAATATTCTTGGACCCCGGGGTGTATATTGGGGGGGGGGGGGGTTCCTGTCCACAAGCACCTGTGCAACATTCAAGCTTAAAAGACCATTCAAACAATACAAATCAGGAACAGTGCAACTCTTTTGAAATCAGAGGTAGAATCAAGTGCCATGGATCTGTCATGTTTTAAATTTTGAACTTACCAGTTGTCAGTATTTACTGCCACCCGGTAAATTCAAAATTTATAGAATGAGAGATCCTTTTCACGCTAGCACTTACCCCGACATGAGACCTTATACGGTCTCATCCAAAGGACCGATCTCCACGTTTTACTACTTATCCAAACTGGGCTTAAAACATTCTCAATGAATTTTTTAATCATTATGTTGAACCTAACAAATCATTCCGACTCGCTGTATGATCTGAAAAAACATGGCTGAACTTATCCATTCAGAAACTCACAGACTGGGATTGCTTTTAACCAGTGTGTGTTATGGCCTTGATGCAAGGTCATTTGGTCGAGTCAAGGTCACTGACAGAGAAACTATAATTTCGCTACCGTATTTGTACTATTGAAACATTGCTGGTATCATGCAGAGTGTGACATGGCCTTGACTCAAGTTCAAGGTCACTAAGGATAAGATGTTTTGACTGTATGTATGGACTAAAAGAACATGACGTGTCAATGTGAACTTTTCAAGTCGGTAACATACAGATTGGGTTTTATGACGAGAGTGTGTCATGGTTTGACGCAAGGCATTTGGAATGTTCAAGGTCACGTACATTCCTTTACAGTTTTTCCTAGCGAAATATTGTAAGTTGCTTCCCCTTACAAGATTGCTTACATGTATAACTTTAGAATGTGGCATGACCTTGACTCAAGGTCACTTCTTCCTTCTGCAGCTCCAACGGAAGACCTATTCGTTGCTTTGCAACGAGCTCGCTCTAGTTTTTTCTACATATTGCATTTTCGCTGAGTTTCCTCCATTGTTTATTCCTCCACGTGCCCGTGCTAAGAATAGCGCCACGCGAAGTTTCATAAAAACGGGAGGTAACTCTAAAACTAAGAAGACGATTGGCACTTTCGTACATTTTATCAGAAAGATAATAAAGTTAATACTTGAAAACAAAGCATGAGGAATTGATTAAATACAAAGAATAGGAAATTTTGAAAGGGCTCATTTTTTTCTGGGCATACCTACTGCTCGTTATGATCTTTTATCAAATAGTGAACATGTTGGAATTTCCCGAAATTACATGTTTGTATACTACAGGATAATTAATTCTCAAGATATTGATCTTCAGCTGATTGTATGTCAGGCGCCGTTTTGGTATTTACTGCCAAAAAGTGATATCGCCTATTCGAATAGGTGATATCACCTATTCGAATAAGTGATATCACTCATTCAAATTGAATAGGTGATATCACCTATTCGAATAGGTGATATCACTTATTCGAATAGGTGATATCACTTATTCGAATAGTTGATATCACCTATTGGAAATGAATAGGTGATATCACCTATTCGAATAAGTGATATCACCTATTCAAATAAGTGATATCACCTATTCAAAATGATTAAGTGATATCACCTATTCGAATAGGTGATATCACTTATTCGAATAGGTGATATCACCTATTCGAATAGGTGATATCACCTATTCAGAAGCTGAATAGGTGATATCACTTATTCGAATAGGTGATATCACCAATTGAATAGGTGATATCACCTATTCGAATCTAGGTGATATCACTTTTTGGCAGTAAATACCAAAACGGCGCCTCATATGATTGACCCTCCATTGTCACGCTTCCCAGCATAGTCGCCGATCAGCGACCGTGTTTGTTTGCACAGTTCGCTTTCCCTCGAGGCATGCCAGATGCATGGCAGTCGTAGTATAAACACAATTAACTACTCAAGTCATTAAAAAGTAGGTGTAAATACTAAAATGCAATAAAAATTTAACCATGGCGGCCGCCCATTTTAACCATGGCGCAGCTCATTTAACCATGGCGCACATAAATTTAACCATGGCGGGCCGCCATGGTAAAACCCCTTGTGGAGAACCCTGACATGTATACAGGAGGCATTATCAGTTGACAGTATTTTCCCTTCTTTAACAACAGTTCAAGTTAATGGTCAGTGAATGTCAACTGGCTACCATTCTATTATGTATCCACATTGCATGCATTTTCCAGGTTTAGTTAGCTTGAGTTATCAAGCATATATATCAACAATAGGAAAATATATATTATTTTATTGCTTTTAGTGTATATTGTACAAAAATAAAACAAGTGTATAAAAATAATAAATTTGTGACTGGATCAATGGAGAGTTACAAGGCAGAAATGGATAATCTGGTGACTCAACAATGCTCACACAATTTATTACATATAAGTATGTTTAACCTTTTATACCATTACTAAACTGCTTTACTTATATTACATCATCTTCGCTAGCCAAGGGTTTCTGATACGCTACTCTCCTCATAAGTATGTTTATGAGTAGAGTAGCGTATCAGAAACTCTTGGCTAGCTAAGATATTACAATGGCAGCATGCTACACCATTGATAATAACAAATATTAATGCAAAAATCTGCAGAGAAAAATCAAACATTAATAACTGATTCACAAATTAACCATAAACCAAAATGTGAAAAAATGAATTCCTCTTCAAGTCTACCTAATAACAAAAGGCCTATGGGCCACAATGCTCATCAGAATCACTTTAGTCCTCTTGTTCTTCAAAGTATTTTTAAGATTTTTTCCCCATTTATTCCCATGAAAAAGTTTAACTCCATATAGTGACTATGGTTTGAACAAATCTGAATCTGCACTATCTGAGGATGCTTGCATATTATATGACTAATCATGGCCTTGTTGTTCAGGGAAGAACATTGCTATATATTTCTATGTAAAACCTTGATCCCCTTTTGTGGCCCCACCTTACCCCTTGGGGCCGTGATTTGAACAAATTTAAATCTGCACTACAAATGAATCACAGTACTTTGTTGCCAATTGTGGCATCACGAGATCCTTGGAGGCATGATTTGAAGAAATATTAATATTCACTGTAACAGGAAAGCTGTCACATTTCATTTTTTTCTGGCCCAGTGGTTCTTAAGCTTTTTGAGACATCCACCCTAAATTTGTCTTTTCTTGAAAATCTCTACTTTTAAGAGCCTTTTATTTGAATAATCTTGAATCACCTTCACCCAAGGATGCTCTGTGGTAAGGTTTGGTTGAAAATGGGACTGTGGTTCTGCTGGAGAAGAAGTGAGCAATGTGAAAAGTTTATATAAGGACATACAGAAGATGGATGAAATGCACTCAGAAAATCTCACTTGAACCTTGTTCATGTGAGTTAAAAAGTTTTTTTTTTCAAAGGACAGAGTGCATGCCCTAGGTGTTTCAGCAGATTATATGCTATCATTCATTCTTTGTACATGTATTAATTAAAAAGAAACCCTGAGCCCTGGTATATGCTAGCACTCTGTATATTCTGTTAACCAGAATTAAAAAATTCAACAGAACAGCAAGCACAACAAGCTGATACTTGGTTTCCTTGATTAAACTATCAGGTAGTGACTTGTAGTGTACCTTATACTTAAAAATGAGTAGTAAATAAGATGACTACAGACTTACAGATTTCACATTGAGGGCCATAACTTACTGAAAACAGTTGATAAATACTGTGCTGTAAATGGATATTTTTTCAGTGAAAAATAGTGCACAGTTTTAAAAAAAAGTTGAAATCCAAAAATAGGTACATTATTGTAAATTATTCATCCATAATGGATATCAAGAGCCATACACCCTGCATTTCCAAGACTTAAAAGATACATGAGTATTTTTTTTAAACTACCATGCATATAGCAATTGTTTAGATAGATTCATGGTTCAAAGAAAATTCTAACAATCCAATACTGGTATTTTTAACAATCAGTAACAAAAGATTTTAAAAATGCAGGCACTTGCAGTCAACAACAGAAGTCTTTAAACATCCATGTCTCTATCAACAAATAGTAAAACAACTATAAAAATAATAAATCATTTAAAGAAGAACCCTGCTCTACACCTATACATCACAGGAATTTTCAATACTGTCACATCTACCTCTTACTGTGTATAAGAGACAATTAATATAAAGTCAGAATATTATAGCTAGTGCTTCATGTAATGCAGTCTTCATACAATAACCCATTTAGATTAAAGAAGTACTGATAGTTTCCCTTCTTAATAAATTCAGCTCTTACACAATGGTAGGCACCCGACCAATCTCATCAATGTATATAGGTCGTACCATGTACCCCACTTGGCCTTTAATGGAGTCTGGCAATCTATCAATGAAGTCTTGGAAATCAGTTTTGGTATCGTGTAATACCTCCTCCACATTTTTCTTGGCCTTTTCTATACAGAGTACCTGGAGATTTAGTTTGTCTATAATGTCCAGTTTTCCTTTGATTTCCTCTTTAAGTCTAGCATTAATCTGCTCATACTCCTTCTTTAATTTTTCCAGTTGTTCGGCTGCGATCTTTTTCTGGGCCACCTCCATTTCAGCCACTGCCTTCACCCTCTCTTTGTCCTTCCTCTCTTCTAGTTCTTTTAGTGCCTTTTTCTTCTCTTCTGCAGCTACCTGGACTGCCTTCTCAAATTTTTCCTGTGCTGCCCTACAAAGATTGAAAAGAGGAATATATATTTCAACACTGCTAACTTTGTTTTTATGATTTCATTTGTTGATATAATTATTATCTGCCAGAAAATACGGGGGATGATCAGCTTGTTAAATCATGGGTAAAGGGAAATAACCCCTACAAGGCTCAATAACTGCATACACTGGTTTTAACACAATTATCAAAAATTCTTTTTAGTCAGCTTCCTCATTTTTTCATTAATATTTTTTTTTTTGGGGGGGGGGGGGGGGGTTAAATTACCAAACATTCAAGGTCAGTACAATATAAAAACATCTGAACATCTTCAATTAAGACTTAAATTTGGTAAAGTCAAGGTATTGCTGCAAATTATAGGATGATGCAATAAAATTCAAGCACGTTTCAATGACAGTGAATAAAGATTTAAAATCTTTTATAAAGGAATTATCACATTTTCCAAAATTTTTTAAAGACAATTAACAAGAGTGAAATTTGAAGATTTTTCATTAAATTATGAAAACCAAGATAAATCATATTCATCAGGAGATAAATGAGATACATCCATAAGAATGAATTTCTTGGGGAAAAGATTAGAACTTTCAACTGATTTCATATCTTTGATGATTTAAATGAAATCATAAATAACCTTAGTACAATAATTATACTGTAGTTATTTCAAACTTGCAAGTAACAAAGCTGATCTATATCATTAATATCTATTTAGATATGTAATTGAATTGACTGTAAAACTTATCATAAATCATTTTACAGTAGCTCCTAGCAACACATACTTGGCAACTTTTTTAGCCTCCTCCTCTGCTATCTTTTTTTCCTCCTCGCGAGCCTTTAACACGGCCTCTACCAGCTCTTGATGGCAGCGAGCTTCTGTTTTCTTCACTGCCTCCTTTAGACGCTCCTCAGCCTCGGCTCGTTCCTGCTTGACTTGTTCAATTGCCAATTTCTGCATTGCCATCTCAACCCTTAGAGCCTCTTCCTATAAGTAAAATTAAAAGCATAAATTTAAAATATAATAAATAAATGTAATACAAATGTACATGTACCAGCTTTATTTATCATATATACTGTAAAATGTACTTGTTTGAAAATTAGTATGTGTATATCCTGAAGTAACGATTCAACCCCCCCCCCCCCCACCTCCCTTTGAAATATTCTCCATTCATAAAATTATAGATCGAATGAAGAACTAGTGTTTAGTTGCTCACAATGAATGAAATACTAGTACTTTGACAATCAAATGAAAATGCAATGCTGGATTTGCTGTATTGAATGTATTACAGGCATATAGTATCAAAAAGGGGGGTAGGAGGCAGTGCTACCCCCCCCCTCCCCTCCCAGCCATTTTTTTTTTAAATGTAACCTTTTACTGTTGAGAATGTTCATTGAAAGGATGGTTGGTCCCCTATTTTGAGTTGCAGTACAGTCAAATCAGGGTAATGTGGAAATATGATAAACATGTATCAGGGCTCTAATTGGCGACTAATTTAGTCACACTGGCGCCTAAAATTTTTCTATAAGTTGCCAAATTGGTGACCATTTATACTTACTTGGTGTTCATCAAATTACTGAACTAAAAACATTTTCATTTTTTTCTTTATAAAGAGCAGAAAAGAAGTTTAAAAGTTAGCAATGGACATGTCTCTTTATATTGACTAATATCAGTTTTTAAATTGGTGCCTAAGGAAAATTTACCTGGCGATTAAAAATTTGCATTGGCGACTAAATTGTTTTGATTAGGAGCCAGATGGCGCCTAAATTTTAGAAGTCACGTAGAGGCCTGTGTATTACTTCTAAAGTACTTTCTAAATCAATTAATTTGCCTTGCTCTCAAGTCTGAAAGTATCAAACAAGATTACAATTTACATATTCTTACTGCAAGTACATAATAATGATTTCTTCTTTTTTTGAGACTTTTTTACCCTCTCTTAGAAATTTGACTTGTGAAATAGTTTATACATGTACACTGATGAAAGTTTAATAACTAAACATTTTCGAGGGCATGTGATACTCCAGTTAGACTTATCATAGCTTACACTGTATACCTCACGTAACAAGGTGATTGACACATTCAGACTGTACATTTGTATAACCTGCATGATACTTCAGGTGGAAAATTCCTGGTGGAAAAGTTTAGCAAGGTCATGTTACTGCAAGTCTGTGCATCATATATTAAAGTATATAATAAACAGATAAAGCAGTTAAAGGTGTAATATACATGTATACTGTCTCTCTTTTTATTTCCAAAGCAATAAAGATTAAATACTGAAGGGCTGAACCTTTCTAATTCAAAATAAGATCAAAAAATTATTTGAAGACCAAGGACTTGTTGGCACGTGTTTTTTTGTGGAGGTCTGTCTGTCCCTCTGTTTCTCTGCAGTCTGTCTGCAATTTAATGCTGAGAACTATTAATGAATAAAACCTGAAGACAATTTAATTTTTTTTTATTTAATGGGTTCGTAATAGCAAAGTCAGTATAAGCATTGGAAGTGTATAAAACGTGCTGATAATTCTCTTTTTCATGAGAGAATATACATGTAAGCATGTACTTCAGACAAATGTTGCCTATGACTAGACATTGGAGGTCACACTTTTTCAAAATGAATATTTTATAATTGTTGACTTATTGAACATATTTTTTAAAACAAAAATATACACTTTGGGAGGTTTTAATATGTGTATATATGAATGTGGGTGGGTGAGTTAGAGAGGGAAGGGGTCATTTCATCTAAATTTGCTCTTGCTTCCAGCCCTTTGGAGAAACTATGGAAACTCATACTTGAAAAGAAATTGCATTTAACCTTAAAGTATGTCATGAACTTTATGAAAGGTCATTTTCACAGCCAAGGTCATTGATTTTCTAAAAGAAAACTAAATTACAATTGAAATTTCAGCATACCCTCAGGCCTGTTGTGTAAAATTTGACAGAAATCACCTTTTAACTTCACAATTTTTGAAATGAATAAAAGTCTTGAATCCCAGAGAGAATTATTTCTCTTATCAGAGAGTAAATAAACCTTATTAACAATTGCAAATGAACTGAGTGTCACATACCCAACACCAGGTCAGTTTTGCAAGTTGAAGGTCACCAGCAAAAAATATTAATATATAAATCAAAGATACCCCACACCTGATGCAAATGTTGTTTATTTAAGCAGGTGTTATCATTTTGGGAGCTTCTTAACAGCAATTTTTAGTTGGGAGATAATTTCAAATCCCTGAGAATTATATAACTACTTTACACTCCTTTGTCATGTATATTTAAGAAATGAATTTAATTTTTGAAGATTCATGAGGACATGAACTACGATGCTTCACGCCGGCATATTTGATGAAGCGCGTTAGCGCTTCATGATAAATATGCCGGCGTGAAGCGTTGTAGTTCATGTACCTCATGAATTTTCAAAAATTAAATTCATTTCTTACATTTACATTATTTTTCTGATGAGTTTCCACAAGTTACGCCATTCAACTGTTATTTTTGAAGCAAAACAGTTTGCACTATAGTTTTGACGTCAGGCACGGTATTATGACGTAACAATAGAGATATTCATGCTCATCTCATGGTAGTTCATGAGAAAATGAACAATCTTTTAATTTGCAAAGAATCTTCAGGAAAAATACTTGGAAATGTAAATATATACCGGTAGTAATGTATTTAAAGAACAAGGCATATTGGATTCTTAATTTAATAAATCACACAACCATTTTTCATATAACATGTACTAGCTTAAATGGGCATACTTATATGATATTGCCAAAAAAATGTAATAAATGTCATGTGCTGTATTAAATGTACAATTATATATGACATCAATGTATATACTATACCTATTTTGGGGTTGTTTTTTTTTTGCAGTATACCTTACCAAATTTTCTTTATCTTATTTCAACAAGGTGGACTTTGACCACAAATTAAACTTAGACTAAGGTAAGGTCCTGATGTACTAAATAGATAAACCAAAGTTTTTTGCCCCCTTTTTATATTACCGATCAAAATGTGATCTAGGTAGCTGGATATTGACTTCTTGCAGTCAAAGAAAATGTCAGTTTGCTTGAGAATTTAATTATATCAAAATAGTTTTACTCTGTTTATACTAAAGTAGAGAGAAGCCCTGTCATAGTTTGGAAAAATTATCAGAACTTGTTATACTGACTCTATCACCCAGAGAATGTACTGAACTAATACTTTGCATCTGTTCCCTTCATGTTTTTCTTTTGGGATACTCCTTGGTTTGTTTAATTACTGCATAATCAGGTGACAGTTGACAAAGTTTACTGATAAAAGCTTCCTCTGATAAAACAAGAGCACGTACATCATCATTTAATTCATTCAGTACAGTGACAAATGATTAATGGCCCACATGGACTACAAGAGAATGGCATGAACCACAGACAAACACACAGACAATGATCATCAGTGCAGAAGCTGGACATCTCTACAAACAGGGCCTGTGGATTATGCAATATGATTTAAAGAGAATCACCAAACCTTCTGCGGGGTAAGAATCTAAGTATGTACGTAGTTCAGATTTAAAGTTGATAGTGATAATGGCTGCCCTGCTGCTTAAAATATTTCAAAGTATTTGCTGGACAAGACAGTGTTTGAATACACATTCTTGAACAAATTCACAACTTAAGCATTATTTCTAATTTTATAGTATTATGATGATTTTGTCTAAACAAAACTTCTGACAAATAACATCTTTATAGCTCAAGTTCTATTCAAACACTTTAAACCTTGACCAAAGCTAAGCAGTTTACCCTCTTCTCCTCCAAAGTTCTGTAATATCAATTCATATTATCAAAACAAACTGTACGAAACAAAACTGTTTAATGGCAATTGGATTGTACAGAAAAATTGAAATTTGACCTTGACAAAGTCGAGGATTCACCCTAAATCGTGAAAATGATGCTCTAGCTGGGTTGTCAAGTTTGAACTTCATTACAGGCAAAGCACAACTTTTTTTTTCTTCAAATATTTGCTATATCTGAACCTTGTTTAAATTTTCTAATTCAAAAGAGACTTTCATTTGCTTGGTGTTAATGCCAACTGTTTCTCCATTGTGAGATTACAGATGAGACAATACTCTAACACTTTTATTTCCTGTATTCCAATGACCTTGTCCAAATGACTGACCAGTTGTTGCTGTTCAACACACACCTTCTAGTTAAAGATCATACTAAGCCAAACTCTCAATTAATGATCAAGTTATGAGCATACACATTTTATTGCAGACAGAGAGGCTAATCAAACACAGTATATATGATGTCTTGAAATATTTGGTCTAGGGGGGATGAAAATGCAAGAATTACATTCTTGAATTAATCATCATTCATCACCTAATTCTGTATGGATTTTTTCCCTTCAATATTTATTATTCTTAGAGTGTGATTGAACTAATAGTATAAGCCAACTGTAATGTTTAGAGACTAATAAGCAGAATTTACATGCAAGTGCTATAAATTGATAATTCAATGATCATCATGTACACCATATCTTAATGTTGTTTTATAATAACCTTCAATGCCTTTTCATGTTGTCTGTTAATTTTCTTGACCGCCCTCTCCAGGTCTATTGAGGAGTCCTCTCTTGCCTTCAGCAGTGCTGCTGCCTTTCGTTGCTCAGCTTCTGCCCACACTGCTTGTTCAGCATCCCTGATTGCCTTCTGTTTCTCTTGTTCATATTTTTCCTGTACTCTTTTCTCCAAATCTCGTCCAAGACCTGTGTGAAATGGAAGCGTGCTCAAAGTGTATATTTATCTGTGCTATCTAATATCAAATTGATGATGAATGCAATACTTTTGGAAAATTGCAACATCTGGAGCAAGACATAATACATGTATTCATTTTATAATATCAAATTGAAGATGAATGCAATCTTTAATAGACAGCTGTCTTATAAATATGAATGTTCAATGAGGTGCATTGATTGATATAAATTTAACCAGTATACTTGTAAAATTGCAACATCTGGAGCCTTTGGAATGGGCCTGCTCACAAACCTTAAACCTGACTCCTTCATGTATTTTAATCTACAAAATATTTGTCAGGGCACCGTATGAAGCAGATTGGTAAATGCCAATGAAACCTCAGTAAGATTTGGGAACTTACTTAAGTTAATTGGTCAATTTTTGACTTTACATGACATTGATTCTTTGAAAAAAAAATATTTTTATGCATGAAAAAGATCTTAATCGGAAAAACAATACATGTTGAGCCTTGAATACAGATAGTTTGAGCATTTATAACTCCTTCAAGCTACAACGCTAAATCCAGAAGTTTTTACTACGATTATAATAATAATCTATACATTACAGTGTATAATAAAATATGGGACATTTCGCTACAATTGACAATTCGTGTTAAGACATTTCAAGCCTAGATGCTTCATGCCAAAATCCCAATTATAAGTATCCCTGAATTTACAAGCATTCACCTGTTAGTTTACTTATCCATTATTTTAAATATATTTGTTTTTATAATATTAATAATTCTGTAAATTTGAATTGGTCATTTTATCTACTCACAGTATTTTCCTTGTAATTTTGCATAATAGCTATTGGAAGTCTCTAAAATAGTTTTAAACACCTTTGAAAAACTATAAATCAAACTTTTGATTGTGATTGTTAAATAAACATAATTATACATCAGCTTTTGCATTGTTAACATAAATGATCATCATCGTCATTTATATAAGCCGAACTGAATGAAAAAGATTGACGAAAAAACTAACATTTTTTAAGGAAGCTCTAAACACTAATGAAAAATGCTTTTTGGACTTTGAGAAAAATATATCATATAAAGGTGCATATATTCAGTGTATGGCTATCTAGTTCATTTTCAACATAGGGTACCTGCCTTATTTTTGCAGAAAAAATGTTCTCAGACAATGAACTATTTGTGAACAGGAATCACTGTTGTTTACTTGCATTGGGAAAATCAATGGAAATAATGTATTCAATTACTTAATCTTGGTCATAATTCATAAGAAATTTAATTCATAAGAAATTGTGTCATTAATTGTAGATTCCCATTTTATATTCTATTTTTCTTCTAAGGGCAGATCACTCTAACTCAATAAAACTACCCTACAAATAGAACTCTTTAGTGTGCAGAGTTTAGAGCTTCCTTAAAGCACTTTAATCAAGTAAATATTTACTTAACATGTATATATTATATGTATGCGCATATATTGTACATTAAATATGGCGCTAAACGTATTGGCACAAAAGGCATTTAAGGGTGAATGGTCTCGGCAAATCATCAATAGACAGGTCCAGTACAATCAGTACATTTAGCTATGTAGCTAAAATTACCTACCTTAGCTTTATTTACCTACCTCAGTAGCTTTATTTAGCAAATTTTCACAATTTTGCTTTTTATTTTAAAAAGACAAAAAATCGCAAATAAATGCATACTAATATTTATACTAGGGATTATTTAAAAAGCAATCCAATGCAGAGATAGTTCTAACAATGCTGCGTTTGAACACTTTTATGGAAAAGATGTATTTCCATTGTTTGAGTAACAGTTCACCACCTTGTATGCGATGAGGCATGGATAAGTATGACTGCTTCTCATTATGCCCCGCCATGAATATGGCCTGGGCATATAGTGTTTGTCATGTCCGTCTTCCGTCCTTCTGTCTGTCCTTCCGTCACACTTCGCGTTTAGCTCTGTTCAAAGCTCAGTTTCAAAGAAACTATCCAAGATATTTTTATCAAACTTCATATGCTGATTGATATTGATGAGAGCTATGCAACTGCATCAACATTTTTTGACCTTGACCTTTCCTTTGACCTTGACCTCACTTTTCTTAAATTAGTGTTTAGCTCAGTTTTAAAGATGCCATTCAAGATGGTGTAATCAAACTTCATATGTTGATACATACTGATGTAAGCTATTCAACTGCATCAACATTTTAGACCTTGACCTTTCCTTTGACCTTGACCTCACTTTTCTTAGTGTTTAGCTCAGTTTTAAAGATACCATTCAAGATGGTGTAATCAAACTTCACGTGTTGATACATACTGATGTAAGCTATTCAACTGCATCAACATTTTTGACCTTGACCTTTTCTTTTGACCTTGACCTCACTTTTTTTAAATTAGTGTTTAGCTCAGTTTTAAAGATACCATTCAAGATAGTGTAATCAAACTTCATATGTTGATACATACTGATGTAAGCTATTCAACTGCATCAACATTTTTTTACCTTGACCTTTCTTTTGACCTTGACCTCACTTTTCTTAAATTAGTGTTTAGCTCAGTTTTAATGAAACCATTTCAGATATTTTTAACAAACTTCATATGCTGATACATACTTGTGAGAGCTATTCAACTGCATCAATATTTTTTGACATTGACCTTTCCTTTGACCTTGACCTCACTTTTTCTTAAATAAGTTTTTAGCTCAGTTTTAAAGATACCATTCAAGATAGTTTTATCAAACTTCATATGCTTATACATACTGATGTAACCTTTTCAACTCCAGCAACAATTTTTGACTTTGATCTTTCCTTTGACCTTGACCTCACTTTTCTTAAATTAGAGTCAAACTTCATATGCTGATACATACTGATGTAAGCTTTTCAACTGCATCAGTATTTTTTGACCTTGACCTTTCCTTTGACCTTGACCTCACTTTTCTCAATTTGTGTTAAAATGTTGCATTTACTAATATACCCTCAGCGGGGCATTCATGTCCTATGGACATATTTCTAGTTGTGCTCATGTTAACCAGAACTGGTTTTCTTTGTTATTTCATTCAAGAAGTAACCATTTGGTCACAAATTAACTGTTGTATATAGCCCCAAAACATGTAGAACTTTGATTGAAATTGCGCAGAAAATGAAACATCTCCAAGAGTGATTTTTTCATGAATTGTTTTCAGATGAGCTTAAAGTTGAAAATTATCACGGCATCAAAGTGCAATTTTCTGCACACCCTGAGAAAAATGCTAATTTTAAGAAAAAAGTTTGATTCAGTAGCTAAATAAATCCACAGGTACTTGTGGACAGGACCCCCCCCCCTCCAAATTGCCCCATAGGTCAGAAAATATTTTTATGTATTTTTTTTCATACATTATTCTTCTAGTACACATTTACAATGTATTCCATAAGAAAAATCCAAAAAATAACGCAGAATTAACGTTTTACTAAAAAATCATACCCGCGGTATTATAAAATAGAGAAGGTAAGTCACTTCCATTTGTTTACACTGGACCCCTCTTGGATATCAGGCCCGAAATATCATTTACCTAATATATGTCACCGAAATGTGTCATGATATCTTGTTTCGGTAGATATTTTTGTCTTTAATCGTGCTATTTAATTACCCAGGTATCCCATAATAATCCGAGTATTCATCGTCAAACGTGAAAAATGCTACAAGATTTGGAAATGTCAGAGTAGAAATTACGGAAGTGATACAAGAACGACACCTAGCGTGTAACTCTCGAGTTCCGAGTGTTATAGAAATAAGGGAAAAGTCAGAGGTCTACGAAAAAGTTCGGGAAAATTTTGATAAAGAAGTCGAAATTGATTCATTAGAATTAAATTCTGCTTAAGATTTTCGAGATGAGCGAGGGTAGTCATCAATATTCCCTTTAAAGGATGTTATCATTGATACCAAGTAGCGGTTTAAAAATCGCTTAAACATTATAAACTTGACATGTAAACCCCCCCCCCCCCACTCCACCTCGGCCGCCTTCCCCATCTGCGTGGACATGGAATTTTCATTAAATTGTGTCTGCAGAAAGGTGGATATCCGTTAAATTAATGTGGTAGTAAATATAATATTTAGAATGATAAACTAGTTTTAAAAATAAGTAAAGACAGAAATGTGATTATTTAAAACTGTACAAAAAATCTCTTTGTTTCCCCATTTGTTATGAATTCGCCACATGTATTTAATCAATATTGATTAATTTGGGGACGGGGGCTGTGCAACGTCATTACAAGTTACAGTTTTGGAGAAAAACAAATTGACCGGTTGATGAATGGTTGTACAACCCATGCAATATTTAAACGTCAATTGCTACGTAATACAAGTTGCAATTATCTAACTATGACTGTTAGAAAAGACGTACCTGAAGAACTTTTTAAAAAGTCTTTATTTTATAGAAGTTAAGCTTCCGTTTGTTTAATTAAAATAATAGCAGCTTGATATATATGTAATCAAGGCCAGAAATAAACTCAGCAGTGCGACGCGAAAGTAAAGAAGAGCATGAAAATTATTTTTTTTTAAAAATGGGGTTGATTTTCATTCTTAAGAATTAATTTTGAAAAGACTCACATTTAAATTCCTTGGCAAATGATAATCATCGCATAAGAATATTAAAAAATACACATAATTATTAAGCTTAATATTATCGGAATTAATTGCAAGCATGTCCATGTAGAAGGGGAAGGGGGGTTAAATATCTTGTAAGTTGTAAATAAATGTTTAAGCGATTTTTAAACCGCTACTTGGTATCAATGATAACATCCTTTAAAGGGAATATTGATGACTACCCTCGCTCATCTCGAAAATCTTAAGCAGAATTTAATTCTAATGAATCAATTTCGACTTCTTTATTAAAATTTTCCCGAACTTTTTCGTAGACCTCTGACTTTTCCCTTAGTTCTATAACACTCGGAACTCGAGAGTTACACGCTAGGTGTCGTTTTTGCATCACTTCCGTAATTTCTACTCTGACATTTCCAAATCTTGTAGCATTTTTCACGTTTGACGATGAATACTCGGATTATTATGGGATGCCTGGGCAATTAAATAGCACGATTAAAGACAAAAATATCTACCGAAACAAGATATCATGACACATTTCGGTGACATATATTAGGTAAATGATATTTCGGGCCTGATATCCAAGAGGGGTCCAGTGTAAACAAATGGAAGTGACTTACCTTCTCTATTTTATAATACCGCGGGTATGATTTTTTTTAGTAAATCGTTAATTCTGCGTTATTTTTTGGATTTTTCTTATGGAATACATTGTAAATGTGTACTAGAAGAATAATTTATGAAAAAAATACATAAAAATATTTTTTGACCTGTGGGGCATATTGGAGGGGGGGTGGGTTCCTGTCCACAAGTACCTGTGAATAAATCTATTTCAGGTAGGTAAATAAAGCTATGTAGGTAATTCAAGCTACGTAGCTAAATCTAGTGATTGTACCAGACCTGACAGAGGGAGAAAGTTCCATTACCAGCTCCTTAATTATGCTCGACCTAACTTTAAACTTTTAATATAAATCATTAATACATATGCTTGAAACATAATAAACACATTTTGGATTCCTGACCGAGAAATATTTAGCTTAAAATACAGTAAGAAAGAAATAGCAATATCATGAACCTATAATCTTTCGATGAGTGTTTCCTTGGATAAAGACTGGTCTTGTTTCCTCGTATCTTCTAGGAATTCCCTTATATCTTACTAAACTATTTGTTGATGACAAAGCCGGTAAGCTTAAAGAAACAGGGTCAGCCATTGTCAATAATTTAGAAACACAAATAAATGCACTAATTTCGAAAAAATCGCAATACCATCTCTCTGAAATCTGAAATTTGATGCCTTGGAACTCAGAAGGATATTATTACGCACCATAAAACAAGAACACAAATAAATAGAAAATAAATATTAATTCGACTTTTTATGTGTAAAATGTATTTGGAATATAGCAAATATTTTTATGAACACTACAAAAAATGTCAACAGTGCTTGTCAAATATTTTAAGCTCTGTTATTTTTTTGCGTATGAATATATATTAGCGTCCCATGTTGCTACTGGAGAGATCACGAAATCTGCGAGAGTGCACGAGATTATTGACGTCATTTTTTCTCAGGAAACTTGGGTGAAAGGTAGGTAGAAGAGAAGTGTTGAAGAATATAATGAATCACAGGTTATTATTTCAGAAAACGTCTATTATATGATATGGCACCATTTAGAATAATTATTATTTACTGATGATGATTTTTATTAGCAATTTTGACGTCAATTACGCGGAACAACTATTCACACTTGGAACAATAAATGTGTCATTCCACCACGTGGAAAGAAATACGGAACGATGTTATTTAATGTTGTCTTGTCATTCCATTGTAACAATCCCGAATAAAATATTTTTAAGTACTTCATTAATAATATTTAATGTTGTGATAAATTAATTCAGTTATAAAAAGTGTCAAAAGGATACCACACACACGAGGTCCACGTGGTGGCCTCGCCCATTGTTTTATTGAAGATTTCATTAGTATAAGTCTATATATTTATAAGGAGAATAATAGGAGTTTTATTTACGGCAAATGTTTATGATTAATTATTATGATTATTAGTATACATGTATTTCTATGAGTAAAGAAGTGAAACACATGTTAATGACTCAAAGACAATAGTGTTTTTATTCATCATAAGATGAACTTTCAAACAGGTTGGGACCAATCGCCCATATGGGATATAATAACCCATCTGGGATATAATATCCCAAGTGGGATATAAAGTTACAGTGCAATAAATGAAAATTTTAATTTTGGCTGTAAATTTTATATCATAAATCCGCATCAAAATACTTGAAAAGGAATAACTTTTGGCAAGCTAGTTTTTTCTGCAGCCCTACAGTTTGATAGATTGATCCCCAAGAAGATTAGGAACTTCCAAGGGATCAATCTCTTAAACTGTGGGCATACAGAAAAACTTGTTAACCAAAAGTTATTCCTATCAAAATATATCAAAATACTTACAAAAGTATTTTGATGCAGATTTATGATATTTTAAGCCAAAAAAAAAAATTTTCATTTTTGGCACTGTAAATGTATAATCCCATTTGGGATATTATATCCCAAATGGGCTGTTATAATATCAATAGCTAAATCTGCCAAAGTTGAATATGAATTTCCAGACATAAATTATGAAGCACTGTCTCAGGTTTTCTACAAAAGCATTAGTCCAAATAAGCAAATCTCAGTCGAAATTAGGTAGTACCATTCATCATACAAATTGAGATTACAATTCATTCCAAGTATGACCGAGAGTTAGGAACCTAAAGTCAAGTGCGTTGACATGAAGATAAAAAACAAAGAATTTTGAATAAGAGTGGGATATTTTTTTCTGTACCTAGTAAAGATGTACCAATTTCATTCCTCTTCAAAACTGAGGCAACCTTTATATTTATTGGTGTTTAATGAATTTTTAGTGAAATGTACATGTGCCATTCATGTCTTTGTAGATAATAATTGAGAACAGTTCACCTTCAAGATGGATTTAGATCCAGACATAACTTCTGTTGTGTCATTGGCAGAGTTTGATGAGTTTAACCCTGCAGAATTACCACTCAATTTTGATATGCCTGACCTAACACCTTGTGAGTATATTTGAATGTACAGGAGATGCCAAATGTGTGTTTATTAAATGTTTCAGTAAATTATTTAACTATCATACAATTATTCCTACTACTTGATTGAGAAAAAATGTCAAGCACATACCAAAGTTGATTATTGCTTAAAGAGGCATAGACATAGTTTTTGATCATTTGCAGGGTACTCCATCATTTCAAATTTAACTGTGGCGCAGGACATAAGCGAAGCGCTTATATTCGCGGTCATTTGGCGACTGAATTCGCGAAGGAACTACAAAAAAAACTGAAATACAACATGCCCAATGAATAAATAGTTTAATTACACAAATGACATTTTTGATTTGGCCAATTGGTTAATAAATTCAATAATTAAAGCAATTAATCGATATTAGTTACATATAGTGCAAACATAAATTAAGATGTTTCTAAAATATATGCATACTATGAAAATTTAAAGACCCCCCCCCCTCCAACACATACGTACTTTTAAATAAACAAATATTAGCTTATAGAATTTGAAGATAAAAGTACGAGAATCAACAAGTATTACCAATTAAACCCTATTTAAAAAATGATTTTGTTAACAAAAGGTCAATTATACAGTTGTACATTAAAGGACAGAGGAAATTCTGGTAAGTCACGCGATCTAGCTATTATCTATATATATTTCCAATTATCGGTCTGAACACTAAAATAGCTTAAAACCTGAATTAAAAAAATACATAAGCAGTTTAGAGTCATAAAATGATATTTTGGTGGATCTATCGTTAATTTTTCAACATTACAAAAATACATGATTACGATAGTACACGCGTACGATGTTTGACTCGCAGTGCCAATGCAATTTTAGAGACGTGGTTATCTGTAGAACTATTAAAGCATTAATAAAATAAATTAATTGATATTAAACATTTCATTTGCAATTATCGTGAAGTGTAGAAAAAATGGCTTGTTTCTTTTCATTCAACTGTCCAGCCAGGTCTAGAAGATAAGAATTTGCTCATGAAAGCCAAACAATGGGCCTTAATTAAAGTAAAGTAAAGGATTAGCATAAGAAACTGAAAAACTGTATATAATTTGGAGGCTCATTTGGTTTATAAATTTATATATTTATCTTGTTGACGACGACGATCTTACTGTGGCGCTAATATTTTAACTGTGGCAGAACTATGGCGCTGATTTTTGAACTGTGGCGCTAAGGAATTTAACTGTGGTGGGGCCGCCATGTTAAACGGCCCATGGAGAACCCTGATTTGATATGAATTTTTTTGTTAAAAAATAGAGAACTTAAATAATAACATTGATTTAAAATATTTATGCAAAGGAAGCACTTCATACTTGTAAAACCCAACTTCCAAAATGATGTTTATAAACATGGATGTTTGTGTATATTCAGAGTGGTACAATTGTCCATGTATTTATACAACTGTAAACAAACATTTCCTAATTCTACTTTTAAAATTGATGTCCATGTTGATTTTTTAATCATGCTTATGTTCCTCTTCAGTTTTTCGAATTTTTATTATTTTTTAGATAATAATTCAACAGGTATAGAAGCTGCTGATGTTGGAAGTCTACTGGAACAGTTTGAAGAAGGTATTAACCATAAATGTTTAATTTTATTTTCCAATTATTCATGTCTTATCCATTTTGTTTTACTTTTATGTTTAATCCTCATTTCAGCATCAAATTCTTTAACTGGTTTTGAAGATCTCAAAATGAGCAAGTAAGTTATAATTCTTTTAAGAATCATAAAAAGTAAAATCAGAACTTGATTAATTTCTTATTAGCTTACCTGAGCCCAAAGTTCAAGTGAACTTTTCTGATCACATTTTGTCCAGCGTCCGTCTGTAAACATTTTAACTTTTTTGACTTCTTCTCCTGAACCACTGGGCTAATTTCAATGTAACTTGACACAAAGCATCCTTAGGTGAAAGGGATTCAAGTTGTTCAATTGAAGTGCCACACCCTCTTTCAAGGGGAGATAATTTAGAATTCATGAAAATTTTGTGACATCTTTCAAAAATCTTCTCAAGAACCCCTGGGCCAGAAAAGATGAAATATATATAAAAGCTTTCTGACAAAGTATAGCTTCAAGTTTGTTCAAATCATGGCCCTTAGGGTTAGAATGGGGCCACAATAGGAGATCAAGGTTTTATATGGGAATATTTGGGGGAAAAAATCTTCAAAAATCTGCTGATGAAGAACAGCAGGGCCATGAGTAGTCATTATGATGATATGCAAACATCCTCGGGTATTGTAGATTCCATTTGTTTAAATCCTGACCATTGGGGATAAGGTGAGGGCACAGTTCAAAATCATTAAAGTTTAAAATTGGAATATATATCTATGAAAAATCTTTTTAAAATTCTGATGACAAACAAGAGGATCATAAATAGTCATATCCTTTCCGAAACCATAGTGTTAAAATGCGTAAGGCTAAAAATAGAGATTCTGACCCCCTGTGCTAAGCCCCAGGGGAGGATGTCATTACATATTTGGAATGAATTGTAAGAGGAAGTTGTACTTTATTGGTTCTTAAAATTACTAGGCTTTGCCCTTATTCTAATTTTATAGATACTCAGATAAAGCTTTTAAGACAGGCAATAGGGGTTTCATGAAATCATTTTTCTGGATTTCTGACACTTCACATAAGCTGGCATAGGTTCCGCTTAATTGGAAGATAAATATTCCGTTTATTAGGCAGATAAACAATCTAGGTGCCATAAGAAAGAAAAAATTCGGTAAAAGGTGACAGTGAAAAAAGGAAGGAAGTAAGAACAGAAAACTTGTACCTTAAAAAACAAAAAAACTTTCACCTTTAAAAAAAATATTGTGCATATTTCTTTTTCAGTTGACCAAGACTTTAGACACTGTAGGGTTGATCCCAATTCATCTAGTAGCATATTTAACATAAGTTTTCTTGATGCAGAGTAATTATTGATACAGTGGTTTAAAAATATATTTTTTTCATTATTTTTTTTTCTGACTACCCTCATTTAGTTGAACATTCTTTAAAATCTCTGGCTGTCAAAAGGATATTGATATGCAATCACCCTCAGGTAGTAGTAAAGTTTGTTCAAATCATAGCCCCTTGGGTGAGGAGAGGGATTGTTCAAGTCATAGCCCCTTGGGTAAGGGGAGGGGTGGCTTAATAGAAGATCAAAGTTTTACATAGAAATATTTAGGTATAAATCTTTAATAATCTTCTTCTGGAAATAGCAAAGCTAT